CCCCCCCCCCCCCCCCCCCCTCCTCTCGCCCCTTCTCCCACCCAGGAATCCGTCCTCTAACCGCCCATGATCTGCTTAAAAATGTTAAACTGCTGCTGTTGCTGAGTACATTGGCGTGTGTATGTTTATTAAACGACTGTGTTATAGGAAACTGCAGGATATCACTCTCGAATGGATTTACCATTTATGCGAGATGTACGCGAGAAATTCATTGTTTTGTGTGAAAAGGTAGTCCTTTCCTTTTTTCGTTTTCATTCGTTAGCGGCAGAAAACACATCCCTCAATTTGTTGTTACTCTTGTGAGAAAGAGCTATCCTGAATTCCAGGGAATGCAAACGATTGAACAACGTACACCTCTGGATATGTTACGTGAAATACTTCGTCATTATGGGCCCGATTCGGCACAAGTTTCCTATCTGTCGCATTTGCATGGACAAGTTAATGTGTGTGAAATGGCTTTAACAATTTTGTGTGTTGATATTGGCGCAAGCACTGCACTCAAGGTATGTGTTTGGCCAGAATTGGTTGCAAAAATGCGTAAAATTATTCGTTAAAAATTATTTTAGAAAAAAAAAAGGTTTTTCTTTTTTTCTATTTACGCTAAAACAAGCGGACGTTGTATAGTGGGAATTGCGGTTAACCTCTTGATGAGGTTAAAAGTTGGATTCTGCCATTAGGATAACCACGGGATGAAAGGGCATGCATGCGCACATCCAGACATTCACAGAAGTACAGCTTTGAAAGCAAATAATTGTTGTTCCGAACGCTGTAACGTAGATAAGAAAAGAGACGTCAGATGCTGCTTCTTTCAGTGGTGGATTATTGTTCCTCTGTTTAAAGTGATTGGTATTTTATCATTATTTTACTTATTCATTGATTTTTTTCTATTTAGATACTAAATATTTGATAGGCAAATCATTTGTTGTCGTCGCCTTCAAAAATTGTCTTTTGCTGTAAGAGGAAGAAGATGTTAGCAGCAAGGAAATGAAGCTGGCGGTCAAACTTCCTCTTCCCCCCTTTCTCCCCCCTTCCCCTCTCTTTTTCCCACCTTCTTCCTTGTGCAACAGCTTTCTTCTGTCTTCCTCGTTTCTCTTTCCATTCCTCGCCAAAAAAAAAAAATCCAGTTTGTGCTTCTATTGCCGCATTAATTAAACATACACTTGCTGTAATTGCTTATCATCGCGGTTATCGACTGCTAAATTTTTCAGGACTCGGCGTTACGACTCTTTTTCATGCTAAGCGGCGAGAAGATCAAGAGTGGTAGCCTGGTACCGGCTGTTGGAGTGCCGCACTGGCCACGCGTGAACGAATCATTGTCTCTTCTTTCTCCCAACATTCGCTGTAAGTTTTCGTTTTTCGATTGTACTAAGAATACCAAGATTGTCCAGGAAATCGATGTGAGATTCTCGCGTTCGTAATGTTATTGGGGATGTCTCCACATACTGTACAGAGGCAGCTATACCACATCGTTCAATCCTGAGTTGCGTTCCACACCCATTGCTTGTCTAATGTTTGTATGGAACTTTTCAGCCGTATCTGATTAAGCCGACTGTAGCAACCAGGTTGACCCTGGAAGCCTAACTGACGCATGAGAGAACAGTATGAGAGGAAGTAGAATGAGATAGGACGTTTCGGTCCATTAAGTCATATACGCCTTAACTCAGCACCACGACAGGACTTCGTCAGTATGACGGTGGCAGTGCTTAATGAAAAAGGAAAAGCAAAGAGAAAGACAGCAGAAAGAAACAGAAGGGAAAACGATATGACTACTGGATTAAAAACAAAGCTGATTCTATGGAGTTTTGATTTTTTTCGAACTTCTAGAGACTGTTTTCCTGAATCATTGCAGCACCACTTTATGCATCCACGCCGCAGAAACAGAAACGTACTCCTCCACCAGCGGTCCGTAGTGCGCAGCGACCGAGCGACGTAAATGAAATCGATGATTCATTTCCCAATGGAGACTCTTCATTCGTAAGTCAGTTAAGATTCACTATAATCTTGTATTTTTTGATGGACGCAGAAGGACGCTAAAAGGGCGGTTGGACGCCAAATATGAGAATTAAAACGATTTTTCTGGCAGCTTATGAAAAGATCTCTTAGATTCAGTAAATGTTCGCAAAATTTTTTGTCAGACGGTTTTGCTTACCTCATTCGTATACTGGACAAGCAAGTTATTTCGGTGGGAACTGCTCTAGCTTGTCATGTTCTGAGACTCTGATACTGCGGGATTTCTGTTCAGAACTTGGAGCAACAAATTGTTCTGTTTCTAATTTCAAAATTCCAAAAATCGAGAGTGCGATCATTATTTTTTTAAGTTTTTTTTCGAAAGGTAGAGCTCTGGAAAAGCCTTGATAAAGCCTTTCATTTCGGAGCTGTCTTGATTCATTTTGCAAGGTTTTTTTTTTCTCTCTTGACTTCGAATGTGATAAGCTACGGGCTTTCTCTTGTCGACTACATTTGCCTGAATTTTTCTAAGGTGTCTGGGAGAACTAATTAGCTCTGTCCAGTGCGATATTTTATTTTAGGATAATGCACGGCATAATTTACCAGGAGGCCTTCCGTTGCATGCTTTTGCTTACTGCTTCAGCTGTAGACGCCACAAAACTGGTTTTTCAGGTAGCGACAACTTGTCGACATGATGCGCTTTATCTCTATTTTTCGCGATGTGTTGGATCTTCGTGGATAAAACCGTTGTGCGAGATACTTCCGGACAACCAGGTCTACTTATTCAGCTCTGTTCTTATTACCACAGCGTTCTGTGATCTCATTCCCTTAAGATGGCTGGAAATCCCTTTAAATGGGCAGTAGTTTTACTAGTACTTTACCTGTCGGCGTATTAGGTAATAATCTGCTGAAATCTACATCTTTTTTTAGAAGTTTAGCATATTTTAGCTCGGCTCTCACAAAAGTTTCATATCTTGCAGTTATTTTGAAGAAGCGAAAATTTGTTTCAGTTAAAAATCCGTTTTAGCTTGTGAGTGTATACAGCTCGAGTGAACTGGAATGGTTGATAAGTAAACTGGGATCGCTGAAAAAAGCTGTCGAAGATTACGATTTGCTTGGCAACATCCAGGACGTGCAGCCCTTCTTTCTCTCTAGTGTCTATACGCCACGATATCGCAGTAATGGTAACATTCATCCATTCATTTCGTAGGAAGCACTATAAACCCAACTTTTTTATGGAAATAATCGAAATGATTTCGGCTTTTTTATCACTATTTTTACTAGGCTTTTTCGCATTGTTGACGGGATGAAAAAAACGTATATTTACGAAAGTGTGTGGTTGTGTATGTGTATGTGTTTCGGATTCCTCTACTTAGTGTCAACTCAGCAACCAGAAAAGCTCGAAAGTTGAAATTTTGCAGTCTTTTCAGACCGTGTGCAATCTCACAAACGTAAAAACCAACTCTCACGTTTGCCTTTTCAAGCACAAATGCTTAAAAGAAAAACAATAAATTTTGGCTAGAAAACTTTTTTTGGAACCAAACATGATAGAAAGTTGAAATTTCACGAAATTTTTTTCCGTTTGTGTGTGATCTAGAGACTTTAAATTCAGCCGTTACGTACGCCTACATTATGAATACATCAGAAGTATTTTTAATCGAAAGCGATTTTAGGACTCAGTCAAGCTAGGAAACTGAAATTTTACAAAGGCTTTCTTCGATCCTGTGCCATCTAAAGATTTTTAAATTCATTTTCGAGGTACACACAAGTTTTGCTTACGCAAAAGTGAAGTTCAGGGAGCCAGGCTAGGTACGGTTAGGGTATATCTCTACGAGGATGTGTGCTGTTCATGTGCAAGCCCGCAAGCATAAAAGGTGCCTTTTCTATACACGCGTGTTGTGTATTTGGGCACGTCAGTTGTTCAGTCTACAGAGTTGTAGGCATCCTTCCGTTTCGAAATTCACACAGTGACTGTATCCTTACATGTGACTTCGGTAGTTCGGTAGTTTCAGCCTTCTAGCTTTTCTGGTTATCAAGTTGGCAATTCTCCTGCCATATTTTTCAGGTGCCGTACGTGAGGATCACAGACACCTACAGGCTGAATTTTAAATCTTTTGCTCAGACATACACGGAGAATATCCACGCAGTTCTGTCTCATTTTGTTTCCGGAATCGCTTCTCCGCCGAAAATTTGTACATTTTTCTAGGGCGTCGTACGTGGGACCTAGGCGTACGCGGATGATGATACTAAAACGAGAGGGCCTTACTTGGTGTGGGCGCATGCTCCCGAAGTTTCAGTCTTCTCGCTTTTCCAGTCCTCGAGTCGAAAATAGGTAGCAAAAAGTGCGAACACACACACGGACAGCCTCTTGTCAATATTTTTGCATTTGCACATATACAGAAATGCATAAGAACGGAAAACTTTGATGATTTCATTGTTTCAGTCATTTTCCATTCCGTAGCGTTTTCCATTCCTCCGCAAACTGATATAGCTGTTGCAGATGCGTCACAAGCGGAGAGCAATTCATTATTAAATTTTCGTGAACTTCTGACGCTTTCTCTGGAGGTGTTGCATCTGTGGAAGATCTTATGTGAACACCAGTTCAGTGTTGTTACAGCGCTTCTGAGTGTGCAAAGCCGCCGACTTCTGGCGGCTACAGATTTCGGCACTCTTACTGTGACAAGTGAACAGGTAAGCACAGTCGTAAATAAAATATTGCAGCAAAGTAACGGTGAATCATTCCCGAGATCGCTTTCCTGCCAAAAAATTTGCACATTTTTTCAAGGCGTATGAAAATTTTGCATGGTTAGTGGTTGATGTGCCAAAGAAAACAGTTAACAAGTATTGCCGAGACAGTCGGTGTGAGGGTCCTGTGTTAGCGATATTACTGGCACAGCTATGCTGGATCCTTCGATCTTCAGCTATAATCCCTCCCCCCCCCCCCCCCCCCCCCCCCCCCCCCCCCCCCCCCCCCCC